GACGTAATTATGACATTTTAAAAACACATCAGGAGCATCACTCTGAGTTACCTAAAATAATAAAAGAGAGACTAGTCATTGTGCAATATAGTTTATTTGTTATTATTTCGACAAGGCTTAAGTTGTTTAACAGAAACACACACACACTAACAACAACAATAACAATAAAATGGAAATGGGCGTCTGAACAAAAGAATGCCCCTAACGAAGGAATTTAACTGTCTAATTGTAATGTATGGTGTTACACTTCATAAAACAGGAAAAAGTTAGGATTAGCAGGAAATCTGACTCTATGTACATGAATACCTATTTAATTACAAATGATCTAATTAACATGCTGAAATTAACGTTTCTTGCAGAAAGACAGCAAAACCACCATAAGCTGACTTGCTTAGCCCGGGGCGAAATCATGAAGTCATGATTTTAGTACTGAAGTTTCAGGGTTGCCAGGATATTTAAAAAAGAAACGCCCAATTGCTACTAAAAACTACCGCTGGAAAACCGCGGACTTGGCAACACTGCGAAGTTGCGCATGCGCTGTGAGGGGGACACAGGGGAACTGAGTTCGCCGGAACAGCGGTGGCGCAGCGACTCCTCCGCGCTCAAAAATATTTTAAACTAATTCCAATGCAAAAATAGAGCGCTTGCATTTACGCTATTCACGTTACATAAGAAGTTTTACTTTAATAAAATGTATTCGTCAGATTAACCTAAAACGTATCATTAGTGGTGCGTTACCCCCAACACCCTATGATCAATATAATTAGTGGCGAATGGTTTGTTATAACCCATAAAAATGACTTATTTTCTACTTTCATTTTTCTTTTTATATATAATTATTTTTGTAACTAAATTCTATAATTACACTAAAATTGCAACAGAAATATCTATTCATTGACAAAGTTGTCAGCATAGGCTTATGTCTCATTTTATTGTATTTATTTTGAAGAGCTGAAAGCTGGTCCATATTAAACTATTCTTTTCAAAGAACAATTTTAACATCAGTCTGCATTCAGTAAATTACAGGTTCATCGGCTTGAAAGTAATTATGGCTGCTATACCGTAATCATTGCTGAGATTGTGGGTTTGAGAACAGATATATGTTGCCATACACAGCTGTCATTAGGGCAGAACCCTTTCAAATGGTACTAAAGGTAATTAACTAGATACCGTGTTCACAAATTAAAAATAATAATTCCCACAACCTATTCAATTCTTTCCTTCATTTTAGTTAAATCGTGGCCATGTTGTACTAATTTGTTCCCCATTTTAATTTAGTTTAGCCTGGGATGTGATTTAACTAAAGTGAATCAGTACACCAATTTAACTAAGTTTGAACAGATTTAACCTTTGTGCTGTGCTGAAAACCCTTTACCTAATTTGGTGTTTCCGACCAGCCTACCAAAAATGATTGTAAATCTCTCATTACGCTCTTGGATTCAATCTTTGTCAACTTGTTTTCTTTCAGAATTAGCACAGGCTTTGGATTTTGTTTTGGAACTGATTGGCTGTAAGCCTCATTGATCGGAGCTTAAACGCCTGTTTTTAAGTGAACATTGCCACAATTTACAATTTGCATCTCAAGTAAATATTTCTTCATTTAGAGAGGTTTAGATATTTGTACTAGAAAAGTAAAATTTTGTGTAGATATGCAACATTTAATGGCATGACTTTAAGACTTTCTTAAAAGAGATAGCACACCTTTTCTTAGCAAACCAAACAACTTAGTGTTATCCATGTCTGTTTTTCAGATTCAGAAGTTTTTCAGAAACGCAAATGCTTTTTTTCTTCTTACTTTATTGGTTCCTGAAAACTGGCCTAAGCATCCTTTAGAAATAGAATTCTGAGTAGAATACATATTGAAATTAATTTTAACAGATTAAAGTGTGAAAGCATTCTTCCAATGGCACAAACCTGTACAAATAACTCAAGGTTTATCAATAAATTAAAGGAAAGAATCCAGTCCTATTCTTCAAGAAGGGTCAGAACCCCAGCTGACCAGGATGATTACAGGTGAACTGTTAAGACTATTCTCTAATATAAAATCATACTACACGTTTGGCCTTGTATGCAGTATGGAGCATAGGAATTTCACTGGCATTTACAAGCATGGCTTTACATTTATTTACATTTAATACAGGGATTAGTCTTCAGAAAGCAGCCTGTGGAAGTGATCGGTTCTCTTCTTTAAAACATTTCTGATGTCATCCTAGAAACACACACACAAAAAAAAACAAGTTAACCATTACTAAAAATTACTACTTGTAATTTAATAAGTGCCCCTATTATGGATTTTTTAAAAGTATAAAGTTATTGTCTCTCAAAAGAAAGAGTCGACTCTGAGTCATTGAAACGAGTCGTTTTTAAAACGAATCCCAAGCCGTTTCATGTTGAAGTCAACATGAAACATTAGCATATTCCCCGCCCACTTTTGATCTTTTCGCTTTGGTCTGAATAAAAACGCAAATTAATTCTTTGCCACTAGGTGCAGCTTTTGGAGCAGTAAAATAGCTGTTTCCCCGGTAACGCTGTACACAAAACAGCACTGCGCTCACAAACGCTGCTTTATCAGGCATTACAGGCAAGATGAAACGAAAATGATACCAATCGGACCAATCACCGCAGATTAGCGTCACGCAAAGGAGGGGTTTGGAAAAATGAATCGTTGAGCGAATCGTTCGGGAGTCATTGAGCAAGTAAGGTAAAAATAAGTGCATATTATAAGACAATGAAAGTGTATTATGAGTTATGACCTTGCATGCATGCCAACCTGTTGTTGGGGACTCCCAAAACATGAACCTTTCATTTCCCATAATAGGGGCACTTCAATATATAATACTCACACAGTTCAAAGTACTTGTTTTAATTTTAAAAATTCTCTCTATATATGGGTAATTTCCCCATATTTAACTCTTAAATCATTATTTATTGTTTAGGAACGATAGATTTAGTAGTTACATTATTAGTTTCAATAAATAGCCGTTTTGAACTGGGTAGGAAATATGGAGTTAATTTAAAATACTACTACTAATAATAATAATAATAATACGCTATATAATCATAATATAAAATGTAAAAAATAATTGCATAGATGTTAATGGCTAAAAACACTCACCGCACGCACTAGTTTCTCCATGTACGGAATGAGCTTTTGCAGCTCACTGTCCTCTTGATTTCCAATCCAGCTTTTTATGGGAATCATATTCATCAGCTAGAAAGAACAAACACAGATCCAATAAGAACATGGCACTTATATACTGGTTAGACCTGATGTTTAAAGGGGTCGTATGATGCAATTTCAAGTTTTCCTTTCTCTTTGGAGTGTTACAAGCTGATTGTGCATAGATAAGATCCCTGAAGTTGCAAAGACGTTTTGAACTGGGTAGGAAATATGGAGTTAATTTAAAATACTACTACTAATAATAATAATAATAATACGCTATATAATCATAATATAAAATGTAAAAAATAATTGCATAGATGTTAATGGCTAAAAACACTCACCGCACGCACTAGTTTCTCCATGTACGGAATGAGCTTTTGCAGCTCACTGTCCTCTTGATTTCCAATCCAGCTTTTTATGGGAATCATATTCATCAGCTAGAAAGAACAAACACAGATCCAATAAGAACATGGCACTTATATACTGGTTAGACCTGATGTTTAAAGGGGTCGTATGATGCAATTTCAAGTTTTCCTTTCTCTTTGGAGTGTTACAAGCTGATTGTGCATAGATAAGATCCCTGAAGTTGCAAAGACTAAAGTCTCAAACCCAAAGAGATATTCTTTATAAAAGTTAAGACTCGTCGACGCCCTCCTAAAACGCCTCGTTTAAACACGCCCCCATATGTCTACGTCACTATGTGGGAAGATTTGCATAACGCCGCCCAAAATGCAAAGAAAAAAGGCGTAACTTTGATTCTCGCTGTAGTATTGTTGCTGCCGCCATGTCGTGAAGATGCTGTGTGCTTCGTTGTGAAAGCGAAACTACTTTGTTTGGTCTTCCAAAAGAGGACACAACTAGAAATCAATGATTAAGTTACAACACTGTTCCAGAACAGTTCAACCCAAATATTCAGATGTGTGCAGCACATTTTACGGAGGACTGCTTCTTGAACCTGGGACAGTAGACTACAATGCTGTGCACAAAGGCTGTTTCTATAAAGTGGGGCAGTTCCCGTGATACGCAACGCAACGTGTAAAAAGACAGTATAAGTCATTATAATCCGTAATTATGTCCCCACTGGATGCAACAAATGCCTCGTTTATAATGGGTTTTATCTCCTCACGCCGGTACACGGCATCACAGTATGGTAAGGGGCGTAACATTTCTGTCACACGCTTGAGGTATTCGACCAATCACAATGCACTGGATAGCTGGCCAATCACAGCACACCTCGCTTTTCAGAACGATGAGCTTCGTAAAAATCAACGAGTTTCAGAAAGACGGGGCATAGAGGAGCAACAATAATGTACAGTATGTGGAAAATAATGTGTTTTTTGAACCTTAAACCGCAGAAACACATTTCATTACACCAAATACACAAAATAATGTTATTTTTAGCAACGTCATATGACCCCTTTAACAAATCCATTTACATAGAAAGGTAAAGACAAGTGTACGTGATATGGGAAGGTGTGTGGGGCATTGTCCAGGATGACTGTCTTCGACAGGTCTCTCTCCAGAATGGTTAAGTCTTTAATGTAGTGTCCAAGCACACAGGCACAATCGTCCTGATACAAACGATGCCTTTAAAACAAAGAAAGCCACATCATTACATATTCATACTTTCGTCAAAGGAAAGTTTGTAACCTGTAAACAACAAAAAAAAGAATAGCTTCTAATAAGTCCTTATTATTGGGAGCTTAAACAGCCTCATTTTAGCACATTTTAGTTACACTAAATTAAAATGAGAACTGGTGCCTTGTCAGCTCTGTGCAGGAACTGTTTTCTTAATCCCGCCCCACTGCCATAATGTTTGTTCCAATCCCACCTGCACCCTCAAACATTCTAATACTGTATATAATTTTAACGCATCAGGGAGTCGCTATCATTGTGCGTGGTATTGAATGCTGTTCACTTCCACTTTTGATTTCGCAATCACACGTGCTCTGCGTAAAGGGAGCACATCTTACAAAATCAGATATATTTGTCAGTGAGCTCAGGATGTGTTGAGCAGCAAATCCTCCAGCATGGTCTCAGTCATCTCTCCTAACTCTTGGCTCATGTTGGAAGTCGACATTTTCCCCCACGCAATCGGGTTACTTTTAAACTGTTGCCGCGGGTTGATTTTTCTCTCTGGGTTAAATGTTTGAAATATTGCATAAATTACATTTTACTGAAATGCTTGCATTGAAATATTCTGCATTCTACCCATGATAAAACTGTGCTAAATGTTACGTTTTGAGAAGGAGGGCTACTGGTAGGAAGCCTTTGAGCTGTGCTTATGATAAATTAATGTATATATATAAAACATGTATTTTAGGTATGGAAATTACATTTTGAGTTTTGATATTTGGGATACGGTCATTACTCTAGAGGAGAGCAGAGGTTTTCAGTTTAGAATTGTAAGCATACATTTTCCAGCTGAACTAAATGATTATTAATTCTATATAAAAGTTTTTTAATGGTTTTCATTTTACTTTCAGTCTTAGTTAACTATAATGACGCTGAAAGATGTGATCAGATGATGTAACGTTGTAGTCAGTTGGACCATCATTTGGCTCTCAGGTCAATGAAAATGTGAGCATTATGAGGCAGGTTTGCTGATGATCAGCTGAGAAGCATTTTCCTGACAATTTAGGGTATATGGGATTCAACATGTCTCTCACCTAAAGAGCTTTTTATTAGGGTCCAATATATCTACAATCTTCTCTGCGTATTCCTTTTTTGCAGAGGTGTAAACAAACATCTGGAACAGAAAAGAAAACAGAATGGGTATACTAATACATTAATTCACTGGCAACATTTAAGGCTTGTTCACACCAACACAAATGTTCAGCACAAAAATTAGATCACGATTTTGGATACTATTTTGTCCGTTCAGACCAAAGTGTAAAAAAAAAAAACAGTAGACGGACCGAATGAAAATGCAAAAGTCACTTTCTAACAATAGGTGGCACTTACGGAGAAGCAGAAACACCTTTCTGACAACCGATTGTCATGGAAAAGAAATTAAGCCACATTTACATTATCTTCCAAACAGCCATTCAGAGTTCTGTATTTGATGTTGTGTTTATTAAATAACACCATTTTATATGTTTTATATAACAAAAGCAGCTCTAGGCATGTAACCAAAAGCACAAATCTTATTGGTTGCATTGATGGCATGCAAACGTCTAATCAACAACAACAAAAAAAGTGTAGCACATCAAATATTCATCTTTGTTTTAGTGTAATATTCACAATGTTTACCTCGAAATGTTTGGTCATGGCTTGTAGAAACTCTTTGACATATGGTCTGAGGATCACGTAAACCTGTGAAAAGATGTCTGATGAATCACAGGATCAACACAATTGCAAGACTTTTCCATGACAGTTGCAGGATGTTAACCGCTACTCCAACAAATGCATGTATGAGAAGCTAAAAGGTATGGTTCATACAAAAATAAAAATGTGCTTAGTTTATTCCCCCTCAGGCTATCCAAGATGTAGATGAGTTTGTTTCTTCATAGGAACTGATTTAGAGAAATTCACTTGATCACCAGTGGATCCTCTGCAGTGAATGGGTGCCGTCAGAATGAGCTGATAAAAACATCACAATAATCCACAAGTAATCCACACCACTCCAGTTCATCAGTTAACAACCTCTTGTGAAGCCAAAAGCTGCTTGTTTGTAAGAAACAAATTCATCATAAAGATGTTTTTAACTTCAAACCATTGCTTCTGGCTATAAAATACGAGTCCTCTATCCATAACTTCCTCCAGTGAAAAGGTCTCGTCTGAATTAGGTGAGAAATATTCACCATATACAAGTCTAACAGTCAAAACAAATTCTGATGTTGAAGGACAACAGGGGATAATGGAATCATATTTTGGCAAGAAGTGACGGTTTAACGTTAAAACGCCTTAATGATGGATTTGTTTCTTACAAACACACAGCTTTTGTCTTCTCAAGATGTTAACTGATGGACTAGAGTGCTGTGGATTATTGTGATGTTTTTATCAGCTGTTTGGACTCTCATTCTGACGGCACCCATTCACTGCAGAGCATCCATTGCTGAGACAGTGATGCAATGCTACATTTCTCAAAATCTGATGAAGAAACAAACTCAACTACATCTTGGATGGCCTGAAGGTGAGCACTTTTATTCAGCATGTTTAATTTTGAACATTAACTAATAGTTTTACCAACCTTGTACTTGTGATCTTGAAAGCGGGTATTGAAGGTGTATTCTGCATCATGAATCACATTGAGTGAACTGAACACGAGGGTTTCATCCTAGAATCATACAAAAATAAAATACAAAGAATCACAAACCAGTCGCCTCTAAACCTCAATCCAATCAATGAGAACAGAACATGATTGTTAAAGCATCTCTCAGTGGGGGAGCATTAACGGCCCATCTGATTTAATGGCCCTGCCATTAGTTTCCAGTCACCACACTGCATGCAAATTCAATCAGTTCAGTCACATTCTGACCAAAATGTTGAAATGAGCAGGCTATTAGGAAGATAACTTACCAAATCAAGCACCAGTGTAGCAGCAGGTGTGCTCCTCGTCTTTGGCGGAATGTCCCGCACTGCTGAGACAGGCCTGGACTGTTGTGAACGATTCGGAATGTTCTTAATAAACGTAAAACTGAGAGGGGGGGGGGACAAACATTTAAAATTAAACCTTCTCAATCAGTCTGAAGTGCACAAAATGAAATCCTTTGTAGAAGAGACTCACGGGCTGAACACTTCTTCATTCTCTTCATCCTCTGAAAGAGGGCTAGCAGCACTGTAGCCAAATACACAGTGTTCAGGGCTGAACATGGGACTTGTGTTTGGCTGCTCTCCTATTAAAATAAACAACGACTGTTACAACAACCCAAAACCAGATGACAAATCAGTCAGAGCATGTTGCTAATACATCACTAGCAAATCCTATCAAGTAGATGCAAAAACATGATAGCAATAAGACAGGGGGGTTGGCATATAAAAGTTATCACCCCCTCAAAGGAACTCTGTTTGGAAGTCTGATCCAGGAATTATATAAGTCAGATTAACTAGGAAAAATACAGCACACAGATTCAGAACAGCCTAAAGGTCAATGCCAAATCTAATTTAAAACCATAGAGTACAGACAAAATGTTTCATAATAAAGGTCAGACACTTCAAATGGATTTGTACTGTAGGGAAGAGCAGAGAAAATGTAACATAGAGTTATTAAAACACCAATAAGGGCAAAACATCGTTTAATAGCAGAAACATGTCATTTATTAATGTAAAATTAGGGCGACAAACAATTGCTCTATTAATTGTAATGCTGTACTAATTGTATGATATTCTAATTTTCAGTGGAATGTTTTTAATAGGCTAAAACAAGTGTCAGTGCTAGGTTTCTGACAGAACTGAGAAATGTCCAGAAACTGGATCTATTTTCCCTCTTTGCAATAACGTTTTCAGTTGGACAACTTGGTAGAGATGAATCAGTCAGGCCGCCATCATTACCACATTAAATGCTCAACTTTCTCAATAGAATTTGGAATATAGACTATATTTGACTTAATATTTCAGTGAACAATCCTAGATAAGTACAGGTACTTACATGATTCAACCATTTTGACCTTCTGCAATAACTTTAAGCAAAAATAATACTAGGATTAAAAAAAAACTCTTTTCATCACTAAACAGTCAATAATAAATTGGGCCAAATTCATGCTCATTTACATATACTAAGGGATTTGTTAAATTATATTTCATAAAGTTCACAATTAAGACAAAAAAAAAGTTCTGTGGGGTGTTACATTTGCTATAATTAAATATATATATATATATATGCCCTGTTCTTCCTCACAGCCAGTAGATCCATGTGAAAAGTGATGAACTGGCAAAGCTTGCAAACAGATCTTAGCTGATAAATGAGTTTTTGAGGTAGAGATTTTGGCAGTAATTACTTTGAAGTGTGTTAAAATTAGGTGTCCTTTTCTAAACAGGAAAAAACGATAATATTGTACAATACAGACAGAAACGGTAAGATTTTCTACACTGTTTTCTGTACAGCAACTGAATAACAAAGAGTTATATGCATTAACAGTGTGACGGTTAAGGGTCTCGGCTGCGAAAGCAAAGGCTGCAAGCTTGATCCCAAATGAGGGCTCGAGGAATTTACCTTCAAGCTGCTCAAGTTGTACCTGCAAGATCAAAATAAGGCTTTCAGTTTAAGGAAACCCCATTTCCATAAAGCCTGGAGCATCTCTCGCCAATCAAACTCCAAATAATGATTCGACTTCTTATGAGCGAACATTTCACCTCTCGATGCCCAACAAGTGGGCATTTTCACCTTGCATACAGTGTAATGCTAGCAGAGCTTGACATAATTCATAAACTGTAGCTACATGTTGATAAAAGACTGACTTTGAGTTGATAAAAGACAAGAGTTGATGAGATGATTTAAAACGGGGGTGCCCAAACTCGGTCCTGGAGGGCCGGTGTCCTGAAGAGTTTAGCTCCAACCCCAATTAAACACACCTGAACCAGCTAATCAAGCTCTTACTAGGAATACTAGAAACTTGAAGGCAGGTGTGTTGAGGCAAGTCAGAGCTAAACTCTGCAGGACACCGGCCCTCCAGGACCGAGTTTGGGCACCCCTGATTTAAAACAACCTCGAAGGGTTTGAGCTGTTAAACACACGAAGCCACATCCTTCAAATCCCTTCAGAAGAGAATATTTCATTTTTCTCAAGACACTTTCGAAACATGCCATTGTAATTAGAATTTCCTCTGATTTGCGCTGTACATAACCAGAAACGGCTGCATCGTTGGACCCCTCAAAACTGCATTCGATTAAGCTAAAACGGCAAACTAAAGATCTCCAGTTAGTGTAGTATTCAGATCTTAAAATGAACCTATTACACTGTCATGCTTGGAGTCAAACTGCAATTATTTTCAGCCAAACTGCTGATCTCTTTCCACTTGTATTTTAGAGCAACTATTGGCCAAAATACGTTTGTGGGTCTTGGCAGGTCCAGGAACATACGGACTCGGCAATACCTCAGCAACTTTTGCGAGGCTCATGGAGAACGTGACCTCCAGAGTTTGCCAGCAGTCGTGAAGATGCAAACAGGCTACAAATGAATGTGTGAATCAGCTCCTTAAAGAGACAGCTCACCCAAAAATGAACATTCTGTCATTTACTCACCCTCCAAACTTGTATTCATTTCTTCTGTTGGAAACAAAAGAAGATGTTGATCTTCTGTTCATACAGGTCTGAAACAACTTGAGGCTGTTTTGATTTTTTGGCTGAACTATCCTGAATCTTCACTGACTGTGATATGAAGCTCTGAGTTAGGAAACCAAACGGTTGAATACTCACAAAAGCAACTTCTGACAATATCGCACTTTGTATTGTGTTCGTGCTGAAGACGTTGGTCTGTCAACAGCACTTTCAAACTGTGCTAAGGAAAAACCTTCACAAGGCACTGCAGATACATACACAGAGAAAATAAAATCTACAATATATTACTAGTTCAGACCCTTAAGCTGTTTGCATCACACGTTATAACAATAATACTATTGTTATGGTTTAGACGAAAAGCTTTTGTCAGACAGAGACTATAAAACCCTAAAAAGCAGAATCCTACTGCCTTGTTAACGCCAGACAGTGTGCTCACAGAAAGAGAAATAAATTATTCACAGGTTTTGCATATACATCATTATCTTTATAATAAACTCTTGTTGTTATTTTAGATTTTCTTTGACTCCTGAACAAAGGAGAGTGTAAATAAAAGACCTGAGCTAGTGTACTTCAAGTTGAGAACGATTCAGTTATTCCTGCACTGTTTTTTTTGGCATATCTTGTGTAGTAACTGAGGTTTTTTGGCTTTGGTTTTGCACCGAGGAAGAGTGTGAGGTGCTAAGGCGATTGATTGTTGGAGGAGGATGAGGTAGGTGTGTGGTGAATTGATTGAGGCCCGCTGTTGCCTGCAGAAGATTTGTTAGATGAGGTCGGCGCCGCAGCCTGGGCGAAGAGAACACCTATTGTGAGAAAACAGGACGATTAGTCACAACTGAAACGAGGGGAACTTAACAGAAAGAATCTGTCGGCTCCTCACCGGTGTAGACGACTCCGTTGAGCTCCAACGACATGCTGATGCTGTTTAGGCCATTGGTGTTCAGGTTCATGGCGGAGTCCTGCCTGCTTTCTGATAGAGAGAGGAAAAAAAAGAAAGAAGAGTTTCTTTTTTTTTCTTTCCTCCCCACACTTTGGAAAAGTAATTGCACACCTCTTCTCAAAGAGTAGCATGAGGTGTTATTCACTTCACAACATTAAAACCACCTGGTTAATGAGGCTGTACTATAACGGTTAAACAGTTAATTAATTTGCAAAAAATTAAAACAGTTTTTTGTCATTTTACTTTTTTGAACATATCATCAGATTTATTGCATTTCACTTAAGCACAAATCAAGAGGAGAACATATTATGGCTGTATTACGCTTTTATTTCAATAGAGATCGCTAAACTCCAATTTACATGTTTGCCCGTGTTTTCAGTGCATCAATGCTTTTCCCATAATGAAGAGAGGGCACGTACTCGTGGTTGCCAGGTTGGGAGATTAAGGAGTTGTTTACACAACATCATTTATATTTACTAAAAACAGAAAACTTTTGATGCATTTGGACATTTATTTAAAATGCCTGAACATGCTAACTTTTGAAAAGAGGTTTCAAAGTGCAAGATTTTGAAAATGATACCGTCGTCTCGGTGTAAAAATCTATACTAATGTAAATTAGTGAAAATGGTTACGCTAAGAAAACATACCCTAAATAAACCACTGGGTACAAAATGTACTGATTTATGAAAAAAAACTTTGATTGGGGGATTTAAACTCTTGAAATCTGGCAACTGCAGCCATGAAAGCTTGTTACCAATACAAGACGATGCAAATGGCAAATAAAAACGAAATGTTTTCAGGATAAATAACCTGCAGGCAAATACAGACGATTATGCTCTGTGATCACGATGATCACAATTCAAATACAATTCTGAACTGACTTGAGCTAAATGACGACACTATTGTCTTACAGAGCTGCTTTACTATCTTCACAATTGAGTTTCCTAATTGATTCTGCTATTTCCTATGTATCTCTGTGAAGCTGTACTGTATAAAGCACTTAGAATAATGTACAATAATAAATAAAACATAACATTTGTGCGTCTCCGATCAACACAGAGTATTTTGTTACTGAGCAAATCTTTTTGAACAAATCTTTTGAGTCAGTGATCCATTCATTAAAAAAAAAGTCACTAGCTTCCTTTCTAAATGAATCAGCAGTTTTGAACGAATCTTTTGAATGAGTGAGTCACTCGTTAAGACGTGAACTTGCCGCCACCTACTGGCAATTTTACCATGTTTGTAAACAACCAAGGTACTATCTCAAAAACACACTTGGCAAAATATGTTCTAATTATCATTATTTAAAAAATTGCATTATTATTATATATGATATTACATTATTATAATATCATTATAAAAAAAAAATCCTTGTAAATTACATTGTAGTTTGTAGGGCTAATATTAATGCAAATGTGAGCAAACTCATTTGGAACAAGTGGAGTAAATGACGACAGAATCTTCATTGTTTGGCTGAGCTATCCCTTTAGGTGCCAACAATTAATACATAGGATAGGGGTTTGTACAAACCACTAGCCCAAAGTGTGAGAACGATTAATAATGGTGCTCACAAAGCTACTAGTACTCATCTGTGGACAGAATCATTCCAGCAGGGGGCGCTGCCTTAGCCATTTCAATAGTTAAAAACAATGAAAAGAGTTCACATGCTGTGGCAGGGGGAATTTATTTGGTCTCTTATTCATCTTCCGATAAAATACACCAGCCGAAACCTCTAGTACTTCACAACTCTAACCAAGAAAAGGAAGTCATGCTGTGTGGAGGCTGGGGTTTCCCACACTGCAGAACTATTCGCCTTGCCTTTTTGTCATTGCGGTCAACACCTCCAGTCTCCTAATGAGTCAGACCCCTCATGCCAGCATTCTTTAAAGTAAATAACATCAATGCAACTATACAGTTCTGATAAGATCTAATCAGAGCACTTCTAAACACCCTGTTTTCTCATTCATTAGAACAGTGTTTATTAAGAACAGAAGGCTACTAGAGTACTACTGTGGGATAATGAGAGCTGCAATGACTCACCCTTGAGAAGCTTGCGGATATCTCCACCTGACTACTACTGATCTGTAAATTACACTTACCACATGCCAGTAATTTAGTCTGGCTGTGGTAGTAGTTTCACACCCTTTCCTACAAAATAGCTGGTACCAGTGAAAGATGATGTAAGAGGGGCTTTGCAGCACTGTACTAGAAAACACACTGAGTTCATTTCATGACCTCAGGAACCAAAGGTTGGATATTCCACACGCAGGTTTCCCTGAAACATCAGACATTTTATAAAAAGGTGTTTTTTCTCAGGTCGGTGTTTATGGGAAAGGATAAAACCACAGTAAAAATGTAAATAGAGGCAACTCTATGTAGGCTAAGCATGTAGAGTCAGATGAACCTGCCTAAAGTTTCAAGGCGTCTTAAAAAGAAACTTTTCACCCAAAACTAAAAATTCTAAAATGTGCAGATGCAGGTGTAAGTTTATGCTCATTATCAAAAAACTTTGTAAAAATTGTAAAAAAAAAATTGTAAAAAAAAAAGATTTTTTATATGGTGAATTTGAATTACTCTAACTGTTTGAGTTTTATACAACTAACCATTTAGAAGCATACATTTAGATCACGACAATCACAGTTAAAACCACACATGTAGCACCTTAATACCATGGTAAAAATGTAATGGTTTCTAGGTTCAAACACTATAGCTTGATCATAAAAAATACTGTAATTATATTCCATTACCCCTTAAATACATCTACATTAATAATGTTCTGTATGAATATCCCACATTGCTGCCACAATACCATGGTGCAGTTAGTGTTACTACGGTAAATCCATGGTAAATGATGGCAATTACAGCCTTCGGACTGTATCATTGTGCACAGTGATTCTCCTGTCTGTCAGGTTCAGTTTCATCTGGCTTTAAACTAGTTTAAATCAAGTATGTCTTTCACTAAATTCAAGCGCTTCACACTGGATCTCACAGTGCTGCTTAAGACTGGTCAGCGTGTAAATGCATCTGCTCTAGTGAGTTCGTGCTGCGCTGCTGTTTGAACTTTGAGCCGAGCGGATAAATGCTCCGTGTGGCCCGGATTAAATGAGTAGCGCTGTTTTGTTTCGCTTCTGGTGCATAAACATTATATCGAACATTTATCAAACACTTGTTATCGTGTTATCAAGGAAAATTATATTGCGATAATTATCGTAACAAATAGATTTTGAATGTTTGCTTTGAAGCGTCCAGTGTAACACTGAGTTTGAATGTTGCAAACCATGTTCTTTTGCAAGTAGTTACAATGTTTCAGCTCATCTCATTGTGAATCTTGGCCAAACACTTGCCTTAAACAAATGCCCCACTGTTCAAAAAAATAGCTTCCAGCGCCTCCACTGGGGGACGATACCATCACCGTTGAAAAATGCTGTTCTAGTCGGTTTTAAAATGTGACTGCATATCCCTACTATCACCATATTTGGTCCATCAGTAGGCCAGAATGTTAAGGTGTCAGTACCTTGGTTGTTGATGCGGATGTTCATGGGGATCTGTGCCGTCATGGCCAGCAGGTTGTGCTGAAGGACTCTCTGCAGTAGCCGCTGGTGGTCCTCCATTGGTAGTGCAATCTTCTTCTCTGGGGGCTCACCGGACTCTAGCTTGTCCCGCAGCTGCTCCAGCGCAGCTACTTGTGCGATGGTGGCCGCCTGCGCAGCTGCAGCCTGGGCCGCAGCTAGTGAATGAGTGGCCAGAGACACTGGCAGACGGGCCTGAACTCCGTCATCCTCTACAACAGAGAACGACAAAACACAGCTCATATTAAGCAAACCATAAATCATTAAAGAGATGTAACCACGGTGCTGGGTAGATTACTTACAATTTGTTATCCGTTACTGATTACAAATTACATGATACATAATGTAATCTATTAGATTACTTGTTTTAGTTAATCTATTCTGATTTTTGATTACTTTTAGATTATTGTGTACCATTTTGATAATAAAAAAAAGAAAGAAAATACATTCCATTCTTTGTTATCAACAACAAGAAATGCATTAAACTTGACGTTACACAAGGGTTTTCCAAACTAGGGTTAACGAAAGAACTGCTTAGGGTTCACGAGTTAATGAAAAGCTAATGATTAATTAAATAATAAAAATGCAAAAAAAAAAAATAATCTAAAAACAACTGAACACAAAAAAAACATTTTATTTTACTTGCATGCCCAATATCGGACATCAGAGAACTGTGAACATGCAAACGAGTTGTCAAATTATTTAAATGTGAATTTAAAATCTCAGGGGTCTTTTCATACAAATTATTTCATATTCATACCAAAAAAAAAAAAACTTGAAGTGTTTAATAACTTGCATAATTATTTGTCTCATACTTGGTCTAATTGGTGCTTTTGTCCCCAAATTCATAAGCACGGATCACAAATTCACATTTACATGGCCATTCCATATATCAAAATCGTATGACACAAAGTAGAATTTTTTTTACATTTTAAAGAGAAAAAAGAATTAGATACAATTGCTGCTATTATTTGAACAAGATGCAATCATGATGTAGCCCAATCCATTAAAAAAAGTAACTGTAATCTGATTATGAGCATTTTAAAATGTAATATAATCTAATTACAAATACTCTATTTTTGGAATATGATTATGTAATCTGGATTACATGTAATCAGTTACTACCCATCACTATGTAACCATGACCCACTGCATTAAGGTTTTACCTTTCTTAATTTTATGTAAGGATGAGACCGTGGCTCCGTTGCTGGGCAGGGCGATGCCCATGGGTGGCATGGAGAGTTTGGGAGAGGTGAGCATTGTGGGTGTCCCGTTGGGTGAGTAGGTGAAGAGCGAGCTGCCAAAGCTATGTCTGCGTCCCTCTCGCCGGTTGCTGTCGATGGCCGCTTGCAGCTCGTTGGGGTTGCTGAGACACCTCTTCTCACATTCGTAAGGATACAGATACTTCATATACCTGCAGAGGGGTGCGAAATTAAACTTAAACATCTGTCCATCGATTGCAAGACCAATACTGCTTCAGGTAAAGAAAGAACTAAACAAACTAAACTAATTCTGAGAAATGTAATGTAAAAAATTTGAAACTGCATTTCATGCACATGCCCTGTGATCAGTAATATTTAAGGGCTCATGCACAGACATTCTTTGTCTCAGTAAAGTGGTTTACTGCTGTTTATGCCTTAGTGAATCAAGCCGGTGACTAACCCATCAACTGTTAGCTGTGTGACAACCACTGGTTATTTATATTGTGATTATTTTATATACAGAAAACGATTAAATCACTGGAGCAGTCAATTCAAGCACAATGCGAGTCTATAGGTGATTTGATTTCTTCATTTCCGCCAAACATTACATTGCTCAACATTCTCTTATTTACATCATGTTTTCTCTGTGTTAGATATGATTAAAGTATATGGGATTGCAGAATAGGGCTGCACGATTTTGGGGGAAAAAATCTAATTGTGATTTTTCTGGGTAAAATTGTGATTTGCAATTTAAAATGCACAAATGGGGGGGAAATGCATAAAGAACACCAAGTTTGTTTTGCTTGTTTGTAGGGTTGCACGATTTGGACCAAAATGTTGTGCTTACATATTATTATGACTAATGATAATTATTCTGAATATTATTATTGCGAGAAAAAAAAAGAAAGAAAGAAATATTGCTGTTGTAATTACACTCTCATTATTAAAAATAAAAAAATTAAATATAACTATTATAATTAGAAAATAATAGCAATAATAATTTTATTTAAAAAAAAGCTTACCTGTGAACAGACATAAAACATTATACTATTATGATACAAATCTGTGACGGTAATTTCTTCTTCTTTTTTTCAGAAGGTATGCAAAATCAAAAATAGAGTCCATGCCTTTCATATGAAATATGAGCCTTTTATGCATTCACGGTGAATTAAAAATGTGCATCACAGAAGTAATAGCACTTATGGCGCTCCAGGAAATCCCTAATATGGACAAAGACATCCAACTATCGCTGTAGATGAATAAAAAGAAGATAGAAACGTTTTTACTGATTAAACTTTAAAACAATAAACCTACACCTGCGGAGTAGCTCTAAATCTAATGCTATGCTCAACACTTCACTATCAGTTCATCTTGGCGGCTGGCCGTAAAATGCAGTGAAACTTTTTTAATTCAGGGTAGAAAAAACCACTTATATCTAATTCATGTCTGTTTTGAAAAAAAAACAAAAAAAACATACTAAGCATCTGAGTGCAATTCAGGAAACACTATAAAATAATTTCAAAATGAATTTTACGATCCCTTTAAATTCTATAGAATACAGTAAAGATAAGTTCTCCTGTGAAGGTGTCGGTGAGTACATACTGTGTTCTGAGAGTGAAGGCAGCGCTGGTGATGGAGGTCGGCAAGTTCAGGCCCTTCGTGATCTCCCTCCACAACTTTTTATTTATGACCTCCACCAGCCCCCCCTTCTCTGTCACCAGCTGGTACAGCATGTAGAGGTCCAGCACCTGCTTGGCCATGATGGGAATCCTGTTCACTGGCGTCCCTGCACAAAAACAAACAGCTGCGTTGAGTGTCTTAGCAGTTCGAATGTATCCGCTACAAATCAAAGACACTCCTGTTTTAGTCTGTATTTGGGAGTTTCTGATTTTCCCTACGCAGCAGACTGTCATACACATGCATCTGTGCTAGAAATATACAAAACATTAATAATAATGTATATATATTTTTAATTATATATTAAATTATACCTAATAATAATTTTATTTTGTATGACTATGTATACATATATACAGTGCCAATCAAAAGTTTGGGATCAGTAAGTTTTTGAATGCTTTTTAACGAAGTGCTATGCTGCATTTATTTGAAAAAAAATACAGAAAACATTTTAATTTTGTGAAATATTATTGCAAATTAAAATAAGAGTTTTCATTACTCCAGTCTTCAGTGTCACATGATCCTTCAGAAATCATTCTAATATGCTGATTTATAATCAATGTTGGAAACATTTAATATTTTTTGGGACCTGTGATACTTTTTTCAGGATTCTTTGATAAATAAAAAGTTAAAAGCAACAGTGTTTATTCAAAATAGTAATTTTTTGTTACAATATACACTACTATTCAAATGTTTAGGGTCAGTATTTTTTTAAAGCAATTAATACTTTTATTTAACAAGGATGTGTTTAATGGATAAACAGTTAACAGACCTGTATTGTTATAAGACATAATGCTTAAGACACTTAAGACAAATTCAGGAAAAACAGTGCTGCGTCACAGAAATAAATTATATTTTAGTGAAGTGACATGTGGCCAAGTATGGTGGTGACCCATACTCGGAATTAGTGCTCTGCATTTATCCCATCCAAAGTGCACACACACAGCAGTGAACACACACACACACACCGTGAACACACACACGGAGCAGTGGGCAGCCATTTATGCTGCGGCGCCCGGGGAGCAGTTGGGGTTCAGTGCCTTGCTCAAGGGCACCTCAGTCGTGGTATTGAAGGTGGGAGAGAGCGTTGTACATTCACTCCCCCCACCTACAATCCCTGCCGGTACGAGACTCGAACCCACAACCTTTGGGTTATGAGTCCGACTCTCTAACCATTAGGCCACGACTTCCCTTTTAAAGTATAATAATAGGACGGGGAGCAGTTGGGGTTCAGTGCCTTGCTCAAGGGCACCTCAGTCGTGGTATTGAAGGTGGAAGAGAGCATTGTACATTCACTCCCCCCACCTACAATCCCTGCAGGTACGAGACTCGAACCCACAACCTTTGGGTTACGAGTCCGACTCTCTAACCATTAGGCCACGACTTCCCTTTTAAAGTATAATAATAGGTAAGTATAATAATTAGAAACTTCCTGTATTTTGATCAAATAAATACAGCCTTGATGAAGCCAGAAGAGACTCCATTAAAAATCCTACTGATCTCAAACTTTTGAACAGCATGTATCACACACACATACATATATATACACACATTATATTAGGGCTGTCAGTTTAACACGTTAACTCAATTAATTAGTTATGAAAAATAACGCTATTAAAATACTTTAATGCATTTAACACACCGACCCTGACCCCAGACCTGTACGTCATCTTGTATTTATATCATATGATAAGTGATATCAAACGAGCAGTGAGAGCAATATCACACGAGTGTTGCTTATTTTGTACTGAATAGCATGAGTGCAAATGTGCTTGCAAAAAACAGTTATATTTTAAACACAATATTGTCTGTTTTTGCTCAACTTTGCCAATGCAAATATTAGCTATAAAGTCAAAAGCAGAATTGAGTGTTCACAAAGAGCTTGATTGACAGGCGATCTGACCAATCAGAATGCGGATACTATGTGCCGCCGCTAACATAGAAATCCATGTTAAAACGGGGTAAAAAAGATCAACTGAACTGAAACTTTTTTCAATATAACTAAATATAAATATGTGCGGGGTTAAGCTGCCACAGTAACAGTAATAAGCTAAGGAATTCCTTTAAAGTACTTGTTTTGCATACCAGAAAACCTGTTCATTTTTGAATGAATCAGCGTTTTGAATTAATCGAATGAATGAATGACTCATACAATTTTAATTATTATTATTTAATTATTAATTCCAGAGTTCTCTTCAGGCAGCATTGCCGTACACATGCATTCAACAATAAAATAATAATAGGTGTAATTTTATTAATTATATATAAAATTATATTACAAATTTTTTATGTATGTATA